ATGACGGAAGAGTAGAGGGCCACAGCGACCAAAATGAAAAGAATGCAGTAAGCTCAATGCGGAAATGAGTCAAACCTAGCGAACAACCCAGGTGGCACAATCCGTTGACACTGATATCCATGTATATCCTAAGACAATTAACATGCAATGCGCAGATTAGACAACAAATCTTGGTGTCGCGTGAAACCCAGGAACAATAACGACATTTACAGGATAACATCGAAACAAAATTTGCAAGACCTAGCCCGATTTTAGCCGATGACAGGAGCTATGTCAGAAAAAACACCTAGTTGTATACACATATACTTCTGCACATGCACGTATGTATAATAACCTTGCCTTCCGGACTGCTGTATAATCGATTTCGAATTGGTTTTCTTTTCAATTGTTTTTCAGTTCTTTTCAGCTGTTTCTCAGCTGGTTTTCAACTATGCAGTAAACTGACATTACTCTGAGATAATGTAAGTCATCGTCGACCAACCTACTGAACAGCAGTGCAGTAGCCAATGGAACAGTATGAATACCAAGCTAGCGAGTCAAACGACACCAACACGGCGTAACTGGAATAGGAGCCAACAGCAGACCCCTTGCGGAGCAACTGGGAGGGGATACTGCATTGGAGTCAGGACACCGCCAGGACTCAGCGCACAGGTCTAGACGAAACCACCTGATGAGACTGACACCCTTACACACCCTATGAAACTGACACGCAACGTGCAACCGAAGGTCAGACTTTGACGACAAACGGATCCAATGAGCACGAAAAGTGACTGTGGGACAAATACCCATCTACTTTTCACGCGCATGCACTCGTGTATGTATGCATGACCTCTCATTCTAGGTTTTGTAAGACGCCTTTTCCTGGAATGGTAGAAGGCACAGCCACTGATGTTAACACCAGTCAATGGAGCAGCAAGGGTATCTACACCAATAATAGCCCAATGCAACTCTGTGGTGAATAGCTAAATAGTGGGGCCTTGTTGCCTTAGTTAGGGGCGGAGCACACCTGCAGCCGTGACAAGCTTGGCTCCAGAGACCGGCAAGGCCGGGGCCAGACCTGAATGTGGAAACACGCTCATCCGGAGAGGCGATAAACCGATCCTTAGTTGAGTGCACGCCCGCGGGAGGCCTGTAAGCCCGATCAGTCCCTGCATGATGTAGCCAACTGGACGCGATAATGTGTGGGTATCGGATACAACCATACTCAGGGCACATGGACCCTTATGGACCCGCTGCCCTGCTTGCAGTGCGGAGGTATATATGGAATCACCCACTGGCGTGCAGGCCGAGCATACGGTATGCGTATACCTTGGACACACCCTGAACAGTGTGAATCTTCCAACTCCAATAGACTCCAACTCCATTCTAACTCCATCCAACTCCACTCACAAATCAACACCTCAGAGTCCCACCCCAGCGGAACCTACGGGCCCTCACAATCCTGCGCGAGAGGTGAAAGTCGTGGACCGCAGAGGAGGGCCTTTAGCGTGATGCCAGTCAACATCCTACCTTAGCTGGCTCGAAGGGATGTTTCGGGGGCACCCGGGCCCGGCGCGAGAGTCAATGACCGCCAGGGACCACCGCCCAACAGCGAAAGCAGGTGCCAAGGACTTCCTCGTAAGCCAGAGCCACCATCGGGGCGGCCCGGTGGGAATGCCTGCCTAGTTCCGTGGACATGTGTGTAGTGGCCGAGTAGGAAAGGCCGCCAGTAAGTCTGAATTAAGGTCGAAAAGGGCACTTAGTGCATGGACGCCGAAACAGCAGCCGAGGGGGCCTGCCTGGTGTTCCCTTGCGGGCATCGTGGGCACGCTAGCCAGCGACGTCACGCGCGCATGTCCACGCAGCTCATGTTCAGGTGCTTCCGAAACCGGAGGAGGCGGCCCGGGGCCGGAAAGACTAATAGGCTGCCTCGCCTGCCCGCTTGCGAGTAGGGAAGTGTCTCCGCTGAGGGGAGGAACACGACTGAGCTGCAGCTAGTTATCTGGGATCGGGGTTTCCCGCCTCATCCTGGGGGTCCAGGTCGGGCAGGACAGGACGTGGTCGGATGCATTGCAAGTAGGTGGTGCAGGAGTCGAGCCGGCCCACGCTCCGGCTCGAAGCGGCTAATGTTGATGTCTCAAGCTGGTGCGACCAAGCCTGGCTGGAGACCTCTCCGCCAGACTGACGCGCATGAATGGATTAACGAGATTCCCACTGTCCCTAATTATTATCTAGCACTTTCACAGCCAAGGGAACGGGCTTGATAAAAATAGCGGGGAAAGAAGACCCTGTTGAGCTTGACTCTAGTTTGACATTGTAAAGAGTCATGAGAGGTGTAGTATAGGTAAGAGGCTTTAGTCGCCAATAAAATATCACCACTTTCATCGATTCTTTACTTATTCGGTGAGGAGAGGACTGAGCTTCGGCTCCTTATTCTTTGTATTAAGCAAAGCCACCTGGTGGCATTGCGACTCTCGCCGAAGACAGTGTCAGGCGGGGAGTTTGACTGGGGCGGTACATCTGTCAAATCGTGGCAGAGTCACCTAGTTCGTATTTTCACTGCGACTGCAGCGGCGCACGCCGCAGGACGCTGCGTGCTGCGGCAGGCTGCTGCTTCCCGCCGCGTGCGCCGCAGCACGCCGCAACACGCCGCAGCACCCCGCATCCTGCGGCGTAGTATGAAGGAATCCTTACACGAGGTAAATCGAGTTCAGGACACAGTGTTTGCCTGCGTATAAAGAGATGTTTTTCTTTTGAGTGTTCTTTGTTTTTAGTCTCAAGTCATTTTCAGCTCTTACTGTAATGTGGGTACCCTATTTACAGTTTTTGCCCAAAGTCTTACTTTATTGGTAAGCCTGGGGCATGCCATCTGGTGTTAGGGCGCCAGCGCACATTTGGCCGACTGATGCACAATTATTATCCAAGTTTAATTCCGGCAGTACCTTTATTTCGTTTTAACGGTTTCTTACTTACTTTCAGAAAGATCATATTTCCAGTGGTAGACCCAGGGTCTCTATTTCGGTGGTGTTACTAACTCTCATTTTAAAGTTTGTTAAATTAGACGCCCTAACTTCCATTCAATTGTTTTAGCTCACTTTATGAGCACAAAATAAGAATAGAAATATGAACACTCGCGAAAGCTAAAGGAAACAGCAAACTAACTATCTTCTTTGTTTTCACTCCATAACTGGTGAATGGGGTTAAACGTTGCGTTAGGTACCCAGCCGATGTGTGAAGATTTCGCACTTTTCAGAGTATTTCTCCCTAGACTAGGCGCCTTACTACTCAATCTAGCGGCGGGTACTCAACGATACACCTATTTCTAGCTCAAAGACAGCAAGGAGACGGCCCTTCTGCACCGCTCGGCTAGCAGATTAGGGCGCACCTCCGATTGGTCAGCGCCGCAGCAGGGATTGATTGAAGGCACCGTCCACCCAAAACGGAGTCCATGAGATTTTGCTGCATAACATTAGCGGAGCTTCCCACTGTGTACTTGCCCAACTCCCGCTGCCCAGCTAGTTGCTTCCAAAACGAGATAATTGCTCCGAGAATCGCTTCGGATCGCCACGTTGACTCCTCCTTTTTGAATGGGCATGCGTTCGTCCCGCCCATCCGTGCGCGCCCAGCCAGTCATCGTCTCGGAAACGGCCTGCGGGTTCTCCGGAACGGGGTTGTTGGGGTTTTCGCGGATTCTCGACTATGGCCCATAGTAAACTTCACTTCACTTCAGATGATCCCAATGAGGGGCTGAGTTGAGGTATTCAAGATAAACTGAATAGCGGTCACTCTCACATGCTTAAGAATGCGACCTGATCTGAAGAGTTAGCGTCAGGGCGTGTGCCGCGATGAATTCACCTGAAATCCGTAAGAGCAGCCTCGATTTTGAGATGAATTGACCGAAATAATGTGCAAGGTATGAGACGCAGAGAAAAATCCCGTAAGTTGCTCGTGAGTAACTGACATCGTACTTGACGTATTGTTGCAGTACAAGAACGTGCAAAACTGCGCAATACCGGTGCCCAAAAAGGAAAGGATCAATGAACAGCTGATTTCGGCAAAAAACAGAAGAATAGGTTTTTTCCCTTTTGCAGAGTTTGCTTAGGTTTTTTCTACAACAGCTACTCAGAGCGACAATCTCTTTATTTATTTCCATTCGATTTTGTCCCTACTTCCTCAATTTTTGATGAAATTTTGGTTAAAAAACGCAGTTTCGTTTTGTGCATTCATTTGGTTTGTGGATTCCTTGATAGCGGCCGTCATCGATTTTCTTCGATAGTGGCCGTCAAAGATTGCCAGTGATGAGCAAAAATTCGCCACTGTCCGGCGCCGAACCACCGTCGTGCGGGCTGAGTACCAGTCACATACCTGTTTGACCAAACTTGCACAAGAGGTGTAGGTGTTTCCTCTTTGATAGCGCGCAAGATTTTTATGCCTGAAAAGCGATCCGCATCTAGATCAACAGCTCGCGGGATGCTAGACCGAGGCGCCATACGATCAACTCAGGTCCGTCTCAGGGCAGATCTCCCGAAGGGGGGTTTACTGCGGGCCTATATATTCGAAATCAGAGACATGAGAAGGCCCCGGAACGATCAAAACATGGAAGTCGAGAAATGGGTGGACGGTGCCTTTGATCTAACTATTGTCTGCGCGGCAGCTCATGCGTTCATCTGCTCGAAACAATTCTGCAGTTCAGCCCTGACAGTGTTATTATCTTACTCGAGGACCATGAATGGAATGCCTGGACTAGAGTCTAAGTTGTTTTCATCTGCGAGGAAAATATAAGTTGCCGCTTGATCAATGACTTAGAAGGTTATTCAGTCTAGGTTCCTATAAGAAGTCGAGATACAATACCGTTCACAGAACGTGCAAAATTTTGTGAATGTCGTGAAATTCCGCGAAGTTCCGAGGATTTCGCGGGTTTCCGGTACCGTATCCAGACCTGCTTGAACTTCATTTGAGTTTCTGTGTATAATTTGTTGCTAATATAATCGCTCTTGTCTCTTAGATCAGTTTGAGTTCAGGCTTACGTTCAAGACCCCATTTTGTACCAATGCTCTATCGGCACTGGCAGCTGCTGGCATTGACCAAGTGAGCAGACTAGAAAGAACCATTAGATACCAGTTCAATGGATTTGTGCCAGATGACGAAACGCTGCTGGAGATCGCCGGCGATCGAATGACTGGTAGGAACAACTACTTCAAATCTTCCAATATGATTTGATCAAGTTGATTCACATTATATTCAGAGTGTATTTATCCAGAAGACGTTGAATTCTCTCCCGTTAAATGTCGAGAAAACTTCTTTGAAATTGATGTATTAGGTGATCCTGCCAATTTGGACAAGGTAATGTTTTCCTAAAAGTCCCGATTCTAGCATAAGGGACAGTGAATTCGCAGTGGGTACCGAGACATTTTGAAATTTGAGAATGTAGTTGCCTGCTAAATGAAACTGGACAATCGAGATCGAACCACGATTTTTCAGGCCAACAAAGAACTTGGTCTTGCTTTCGACGAGCACGACTTGTTTTACTACAAGGATTTATTTCTGAACAAGCTAAACAGGTATGAAGACCAAAGGCAATTTATGAATAGGGAAAAATGCTTTTTCTAGAAATCCGACAGATGTTGAGCTATTCGACTTGGCGCAATCTGATTCGGAGCATTCTCGTCATTGGTTCTTCCGTGGGAACTTGTTAGTTGATGGAGAAGAACGCAAAGTAGGCGATATTTGCTTACTTTGAAGCTGATAGGCTGGAAAAAAGAAAAACTGAAGAGTTTTGGAGTACAGCACCTGTAGATGAAGTGCTTAAGTGGCGACAAATGTTGGATTTTCTAGGATAGACATGAAAAATAGAAGAAGTTATAATATAACAATATAATAAAATCATCGTTATTGTTATGCTTTCGCTCAACATTCATTACTTTTCCTAAATTACAATATTTTATGGATATAGGAGTCACTGATGGACTCAATCACGAAGACCCAGACACATTCGAATCCCAACAATGTCATCGCTTTTTGTGACAACTCAAGGTAGGCGTGTGAGAAAGAATAATTCATATTTTTAGACCTGTTAAAATTAGAAGTTTGGGAGATCACAGTAATTGCTTATCAAGCTCAGGTACTTGATAACTTCTGATTTTTCTAGGGAAGACGAGAAGTTCTTGCACCAAAACTCCTTTGGACCCTTAGTATTGCCCCTATTAAAAAGATTCAAGAAATAAATTTTGGTTTGGTCACATGGAATATTTTGGTGAATAAAATATTTGTGCTGCACGGATGCCTTTTGAATGGTTATGTTTAAATTTTGAACATTTTTTCAATTGACTTAGAATGATACCCGTAATGCATTCAAAATTCAACACACACCATGATAAATCGAATGATCTCATGTTTCTGATGACTAATTTTTTAATGGAAAAGCAAGTAATAAAGGACCCTCAATCTGATGATCCTCATACTCTTAGAAATAATAATGTTCTAGTGCAATAAACGGCTTTGAAACCGTTCCTTTGCTCCAACCAGAAGATCCCACGGAATGTTCACACATGGAGCTTCGTCACGAGAAGCGCCACATCACGTATTCAGCTGAAACTCACAATTTTCCAACTGCAGTTTGTCCTTTCCAGGTGAGTGGTGTCGGTAATTTAGCGGATCAAAAACCACTACTAGTTAGTTTTTGAACTAGCTAAGTTCGGATTATAACTGATTTATATTGTATTAACTCGGCTTCTGCCCAAACCTAGAAACTTTTTTACAGGGAGCGACTACAGGTACTGGGGGACGCATACGTGATACACATGCGACTGGAAAAGGTCAGCACCAGCTCATTTTCACATTTTTATTGTTAAAAAACTTCTAATAAGTAGGGTTCTAAATTTCTAGTAATTTAGGATCTCATGAAATCGCTGGAGTGGCCGGATATTCATTTGGCAATCTCAATCTGTCAAATTATACCATGCCTTGGGAAGATCCGACTGACGAGTATCCATACGGTTTCAGTCGTCCTAGTGCTGTAAGTGCCGTCAATCAGCTCCATTACTGCGGACATCTGGCATAAATCATGCACCTTTACACATCCTAATCTTGTGCAGTTGTCCTGACATTCGAAACATTGATTTTCGTTTAGCACTTCACCAAAGGACAGCACTCGAATTGCGTAATTTCCGAAATTTTTTCAGATAGCAATAGAAGCCTCAAATGGTGCCTCCGATTACGGTAACAAATTTGGTGAGCCTGTAATTTGTGGATTCGCTCGTTCATTTGGGCAGCGATTAGCTAATGGAGAACGATGTGAATACGTCAAACCGATAATGTTTTCTGGTGGGATAGGAGCTATAGGTGACTCATTTAACTCATTCTCATCTCTTTCTCTCTCTCCCCTCCCTCTCCAAGACATTTTCTATAATTTCAGATGAGGAGCAGTTGTACAAAGAAAAATCGCGTGAAGGTATGCATCTGGCCAAAATTGGTGGTCCAGTCTACAGAGTTGGCGTCGGCGGTGGTGCCGCTTCCTCACAATCAGTGCAAGGTACGCAATCACACAAAATTTATCACTTTAGCAAAAGATATTCTCCAGGCTCTCGCGAATCTACCCTGGATTTCTGTGCCGTACAACGTGGAGATGCTGAAATGGGACAGAAATTGCATCGTGTGGTAAGAGCCTGTGCCGAAATGGGCTCGAAAAACCCTATTAAGGCTATCCATGATCAGGGAGCAGGAGGAAATGGTACGGAAGATGTTGTAATCTCTTTTTGAAGCAGCTTAGGTTTGACCACTTACAGGAAATGTCCTCAAAGAATTGGTTGAAGACGGGGGAGCTATCATCAATGCATCAAGTTTCGAACTCGGTGACGACACGATTTCAGCTCGAGAGTTGTGGACAGCTGAGTATCAGGTAGTTGGCAAATTTCTACTATTTCTACACGATGCTTTCGAACACAGTACTGGCAAGCAGTCGAGAAACATTCAAAACACAGATCTTGAGTCTCACAAACTAAGTGTTTTAATGAACAAATTTTGCGTTTGTAAGCGCCCAATCTCAACGCCTTAAAGATAGAAGTAGATTAGTCTTCTCTTTCTGTGCATGGATCATGCATAATTACCACATCAGTGTACTTCACACTGGTTTCTGGATCGGAGGCTCCGGGCAAAATCTTTGATCTTTCGGTTAGTACCTTCCTACAAGAATTCCCTAGGAGAAGAACATCTGCGATGGTCCGGTCTATGAGGCCTCTGGATGGAAAAAAGGACCCGTAAAGCCACGCCCAACATATAAAGGTCAGCCCACCCAAGGGCTGAAAACGGCTTTGCTTCGAGATAGGGCTCCCAGAAGTCGGATTTTTGTTTCGCACATTCTGCACTTTATATCTGTAACAGGGCCATAGCAAGGCCCCAAAATAACAAAAATGGAAGACGAACTCTGCGTGGATGCTGCCTTCGACGCATTTCTTGATAAAGCCTTACAACAATCGCGCCCGACAATGTGAATTGCAATTGATCTTTACCGTATACCTACCATACATGAACCGGTTAGAATGCGTATTTCATCTGAGACTTGCTCGTCAAGTTGACTGTAAATCTCCTTTCTCAATGAAAGCATATAAAGACCAAGCTACAATGATGCGACGGTGAAGGACAAACGGCCACCTGATTATTTTTCTCTCAAACGATAATGTCTAATTCCTTACGAAAAATTGAAACAATAATTTTGTGTATATATAGCAAGAGAAGGGCTTCACAAAGTGCTTCCGTATGGATGAAATACAATAATCAATTGAAGCACGGCCTTTTTTGTGTAGCGCTCGTTTTAAGAAGATTGACAAAACCACATAAACGTTGAAAAATAAACCATTCTTTCCAAATGAATTGAAAAATTGTTATCCTCCAGAAATGGAACTTCCATCCGCATGGTATTGGGAAAATAATACGATGGGAGAAAAAAGCGATCCATCGAAAACCTTATTCTTATTAAATCAATCTCAGTCAAATTTTCTTTATGTGGCGAAAAGAGTTGGTGAATTTAAGCATAGTAGTAGTCTGATGAACTACTAGATCTCAGGTATCAAAGACAAAAGCTAGCGAAACCTAAACTTCTATAGAGCTTCAAAATCCTCCCACTTATCCAATCAAGTCCATATCAAGGCTTCAAACTTTCTGTCCGTTATCTCTTAAATCATATATGTTGCCTGCTATCCGGATAATTATAAATTTTTTAGCTTCATAACTCTGCAATTTCACTTATTATCCTTGCTAATTCCATTCGCTTAATTTAAGGCAAGCTGGTTTCATGCTTTACGATTTTTACGATGCACTGTAGGAATACAAGTTGAATAAATAAATATAAATAAATGCCTATTAGAACTAGTAAATTAATCAAGCTCAGGAAACGTTTGAAATCAGAAGTTTACCTCAGTTGATTTGGCACTCATGTTAAAAATCGCGAGGTTACTTCACGACCACACATGGATAGTAAACAAATGGCATTCTCCTAGTTTCTGTTCGTTAATGAGATCGGCACTTATAAAAAGGTTGCAATAGCGGACCGAGACATGGGTTATAAGATGCACAAAATACAAATTCCTTGCAAAAATTTTTTTCTTGGGTATGGCTGCCGCAACGCCCCTTTTTCTAAAATTATTTATTTATTTATTTATTATGTATAGGGAAGTCCCTATGAGAAAGAATAACAAACAACAAAACCGACAACAAATGAATCAACACAACAACAAATGCCCGATCTCTGATAAGCTTATCCACGTCGTGCAAACACGACATGAAAAGAAATTTCTTCGCACAGCTAGCCTACATCGGAATGTTAAGCTTTCTCGAACCACCCCTAGTAGTAGAAGGCTTAGTAGCAAAATAGGCGGTCCATTGAGGCCACAATGACCATACATTATCTTATGAGCCAATATTAAATCAAACTTTCGTCTTCTGCGCGCTAGAGTAGATAGTCCAGGGTTCCTATTACGCATGTCACTGTTAGGAATCTGATCATATACAAAACCAACAGTCCAAATCAGTAACTTGCGCGTAAAGCTGTTCTGTACTTTCTCAAGGTAATGAACAGTTTTGCGTTTAATAGGGCTGTATATAACACGCTGTATAAATTGCCGAGTCATGTGCTCGAAAATTTTGAGAACTATCCCAAAAAATTCGAAATGCGTGGCTGATGCCGCGCACCTTCAATCGGAAAATTCCATCCTTCCCACGGAAATATTGGGACCGCCACTGCAAGGTTGTCTATAAGTGCCAATCGCTCTAATCCCTTGCGCACTAATGTAGCAAATTTTCACTTTCTCCATTCCAGACAAAATATTTAGGAGAATGACGCCTGTCTCGTCGAATCCAACGCACTTCCAGTGATGATGAAAATCTCGCGTCGAGAGAAGTGCACGGTCTCTGTTGTCGGCACTGTCACAGACGAGAAACGGGTGAGATATGATTGCAGCACTGTAACAAAGGATTTTTTCGCGCATTTTGAGAGGCGAGAAATTGCGCCGAGAAAATTGTGATGGATTGATGAAGTTAGTGAAAGACGACAACGGTTTTGTCGCGGGTTTCGTTAATTCTTAATTGGAGATTCTTGATCTATCGTCGCTGATTATGGAATTTTTAAGGTAGTTCTCAAGGATTTCAACGATGATGGAAATAATCGTAATCCTGTTGATCTCGATACTAAAATTCTGGGCGAAAGGCCAAAAAAGGTAAAATGCATCCCTAACTCATTGTCAAAGATATCAAATAAAATGTTTATTTCTCAGTTGATGGCGTTTTTTGAAAACTCATAGTATATAGAAATCATGAGATTATCTTCAGGAATTTCACCTGGAAACAACCCCTGGTAATCTTAGGAGACTTGAATTACCCGCGGGTTTGACGGTCAGACAAGCTTTAGAAATGGTCCTTCGACTACCTTCAGTGGCGAGCAAAAGGTAAGCTGGCTATTGATTTGATTGAATTTTGTCTGTATGTTTTAGAAGGAAAAAGTTAGTCTTACGGAGAAAAATGATTTTGAGGAGGTCGACGCAATCTTTTCTCCGTATTTATTACTGCAAAAATAAATCAATAAAACATTTACTTGCCTTTTTGGAAAAAGAAATCTTTTCTGAAAGAGAGCCTCCAGAAAAAAAGCATGCCCTTGACTGGTTAGCTTTTAGCAAGAGACCTATTTATTTTATTTTTATCAATCTGCTAATGCAAATAGTCCCCTCAATTTCGCCATTTACTCTCCCTTTGGGCTTTTCCGGCCTTTCTCCGTTTTCTCGTAAATTTTTCCACCTTCGTCTTAAGTCAGTTACATAACCACTTTTCTTGTCTCACTTATGAAAGTTTATTGCTCAATGAACTAGCAGTCATCTTGAGTGAATCATCGTTATGGCATCCGGCTGATTATCATTGCGACAACATTATCGATACTTCGGCAAATGTTGAACAAAAGATCATAAAGGCAGTCACGACAGTTTTGACCATGACAAGAATTTCCTAGTGAATCAGTGAAGCGAAATCGTTTGAGTTTTAGCTTGAAGTTAGAAAAATAATAAACGTTAGAAAAACCAGTCAGCAAAGTTTATGTTCAGCGTTAGAAAAATCAATCAGCGAAGTTCATATTTAACTTTAGAAAATCAATCAGCAAGGATAATTTGAGGAATATGATCAATCCTTTAAAAATGCACTTTTTGACCAGCGGTGGACTGAGATTGCACAAAAATGCAATTTTCAAATCAAAGCTGGAAATTTCGTTTTCAAGTGCTAAAAATGGAGAAATCTATTCTACATGAAACTGATGCAACAGTAATCACATCAAGTTTCGTTTTTCATCATTTACCCGCTGATTGCTATTTCAAGTATTTCCTCTCAAACCTAAGTTGTTGGGTAAGCGTCAAAATAAAGTTATCGTTGAAGAGCTCTCTATTGCAGCTAAAATTCTGTCGGTAATCGTATCCTCAAAATTTGTTGCGAAATTCATCAATTTGAAGTTATCATTTATTAGAACTCAACTTTGGTTATGGAAACACTTAAGAACATTCTTTTGCATTTTTTGATTGACTGATGACTCGTTTTATGACTCATTAGACCATATTATAGAATGTAGGAGGAGTATGTTCCCCCTACTTGAATTTCCCCTGCAAATTGTTCGCAAGTTCAATGACGTCAGCTCACTTCTACCAGTTTCGTACCAAAGTAGTCTTGAGTACGCTCTTGTGTGCACAACAAGTACCAATACACAGGTTATATACCGAAAACTAGCTAGAGCAAATTATGTGAAAAGAGAACTAAAGATGAAGAGGAAGTTGCAAGGAAAAGGACTGAAAAAGTCTGCCGAGACTTTGAAAGCTGCGTTGACTAGAAGAATGTGCAAAGAAGTTTCTTCAAAATTTGATTGTGGAATATCAGTCGGAAATTCAACAAAGACAGTTTTCTGTATAATCTTAGGCAGCAGGAAGCGATTTAGAAAAGTTACATAATTAATAAAAAATAATTCAAATCAGTCTCAAATTGCCGTAGTTTTTTTAGCTCACTCTGACTTTGGAACTTATAACGTTCTTTGTTGATGTTCTATCGCGCGACTTTCATAGTAATAATAGAGCTAGAAACGCGAAATAATGGATTAGGGTAAGTTCAATTATTGCGTTCAATCAACGAGGTTAGCGTAGCTTTACGAGCAAATATTTTGGTCTCACATTGTTGGATGCAAAATCCAGGAGAAAATTGGAAAAGCACCGCATTTTCAGCATTTTCGATCAATTCTTATCTATAGCACATTTTTCCAAATATTGGGTAAATTTGTTTTAGGTACCTCACTTGCAAGGTCGATCGTTCAGTAACTGGTCTTATCGCTCAACAGCAATGTGTAGGGCCCCTTCACACCCCTCTGGCTGATGTAGCCGTAGTGGCATTGTCGTATTTTGACAAGGCAAGTTGTCCATACAGAAGAAACTTCTTTACATTTTACCGCCCACAGACAAATTACTCCAATTCCAAAAGGGGAAACAAGAAAATTTTATTATAAGAAGTCACTTTGAGTAATGTGTTGATTGGCACTGAGTGTAACTGGAATTGTTTATAGCCCTGAGGAAAAAAGCGCTTGAGTGGTTGTTTCCTGCATTTAGTCACATCGATGAGACACATGAGAATGGCCTAATAGAGCCAATTAACCGGGTAGTTGCATCAAGCGCCCAGTCTGAAGTGGAGAAGTCTGCGCGAGTAAAAAGCAGCACGTGTTGTTTGCTTTGGAAAAGACATTCTGCACGTCAGAAAACAATAACACCTCAGAAAACGCGAGTTTTTGAAAAAAATTTGTTCAAGACTCTGAAGAGAAGAAGAGTTTGTGAGACTATTCCTAATGAAGAATCCATATAGTCGTAAAATATAAAGAAAAAACAATTTTATATATGTTTATTTCCGTTTCGTCCCTTTCCTTTGACGGAGTTTTGAGATCTAGACCCTCTCCGGGACTCTTCAGTAAGGAGAAAGGGTCTAGTTTGATTTTGAGAAAATTTTTTTTCAAAAATTGTAAAACTACTTCTATACTTCAGTTGTCATCCAGTTCTTCTTTGTGTCGTATGATTTGTTGTAACGTAGTACTGTAAGGAAATTATGTAACTTGAAAAATGTCCCAATGCGTGCAATTGCACAATTGGACTGTAAGAACATTTCCCTATGGACCACTTGCTCTCAAAACGCATAAAGCACAATTAATTCTGCCCCCTCTTGCAGAAAACTGAGCAGATCATTAGAAACAACACCCCCTCACCTCTCACCCCAAGATTGGTTTGCGACAATGTTAAGGTAGTCTCATGATTTGGAAACTTTTACAAATAATTTGTTTCTTACTTGCAAAAAACAGAATATTTTCTAATTGTAAAATTCAAGTTAGCTTCAAAGTTTGACTGCCACACCCCCTTTGATAAATTGGGGTCATGATTAGCTAAAATTTTGGCAAGGATTCTAAAAATCTTTTGCTATTGGGAAAATGACCTCCGCGTGAAATTTTGCAAAAGCGGCTTTGATGGCAGTGTGAATGTGCGCGTGGAGATACCTATGGTGCAATTATACACATCACCGTCGACATCTTCTGGACCATAAACGTACAAATTTTCTAATGAAATGAATAGTGAATGATACATTTTTAGTTCAAACAATAATTGTTTTTCCTAAGAAATGACTACAATGAACTAACTATGGGTCAAATATCCCATCACCTTATACTTTTCTTTCTTTATTTTTTTTGGTTGCCATAAGCTACTTATTGCTTACTAGCTGAGAAATTCTGCAGATTTTGCTTGTTAATCTTTTTTAATGAATTTTGGAAAGAGCAATTGAAGCGGAGTTGGCTAAGCATGCTATAGATTTTATCCCAAGTTCAAATCACCCTCCTTTTCATATTTACCTATTTTCTTTACTGTGCGCATCGCATAGGTCTGCGACTCATAAATCTTCTTCGGTCACTTTAATTCAATGAAAGTTTCCATAAATCTTTCTCTATTGTCCCGAATTTCTAGGAAAATTCTAGACTTGACAAGCGAATGTTATGTTTATTCCCGAAACTTGGCTTTCCAAATCCCTTCCTGCGTAAACTCAATCAGCTTCCAGATCCATTATCAGCACAGCTAGAAAACAAGCAAAAAAGCGAAGCAAGCCCGGCGAATTCTTCGAATTTCTTGTTGATGAGCTAGATTTTGGAGTTTCAGACTAACAAACTTGTCCTTTGAGAAGAAACGAGGCTAATCCACTCGAACCCGCTGATAAGCCCACGAGTGTCCCAAAGCGTGGAGACTGGTGTTACATGGTACTGATCGCTTCCTTTGACATAAAAAGCAATAAACCCGTTTTGAGCGCTGAGCTGGGTGATATGGTCTGATCGTACAGAAGTGCTAAAAAATTAGTATTATAATTATTCAAGACATCTTTCGTAAGAATAGTAGTCTAAAGAAAAAAAACTTTTATCTGAGTCCGTTGTCCCTTTGAATTAAGAGTTTTGATATCTAACCTCTCCTTGGGATGTTTCAATAACGAGAGGGACCTAGAATGATTGATGAAAACTGATTGCAAATCTCAGATTGCCTCCTATTTTCTTGTTTTTTTTGAAGGTATTCCTGCACTTTCACTCAAAATCTGTTAGACGTTGTTAGATAGTCTTATTTGGCTAAAAAAAGTTTGAGGTACTGATTCAGCAAATCCGATAGTGTTTTTTTGCAAATGCACAACGAAACAAAAATCAAGGAATTCAAAATTGGTTTTGGTTCTTGGCGTACATTTTCTACTACGTTATATACTTCTTAGCACGTGTAACTAAAGTAAGATATAATAGGGTCATAAATAAGAAATTTTGGTTTATAAAATCAAAACGTTTTGTAAATTCCTCGTAACTGTGTTTGCTGTGCAGTCGCGCATATTACTTCCATTCAAATCATCAACTATGAAAAAATCCTTGAGATTCTAACACAGCAGAATTTTTGTGTTTGGACTTTTTAATCTAAGATGGGAGATTAACTATAACTACACAAACAGCGGGTCATACTTAACACTCTCAAAAGTACCATTTGTATGCAGACCAATCGGCATCCCCATTTCGAAGGTTCGGTTTTTGTTGGAGTTTAGAGTTGAATGTTTCAAGGAGGAGTGATTCTTATGAGCTGCCACTTGGGCAATATCTTATATGCCTACAGTGAGTTTCCTATAATAAATTCAAAGTTCAAGATGCTGGGCTCTGGCTTCTCCCCGTATGTGGGAATAGACAAATCTCCATTAAGACAGGAATCCTAGTGTGAGTCGAATCTCACAGTTACCTGTCCGCGGTGTCTTACAAAGTACCGTCGTCCAAGTGACAGACAATATGACATCGGAAACCAGAAAAAACTGCTCCGTAGGTTAATCGAACCTCGCTGGCGCCAAGATGATTGGCTTTCGGCCTATAGTTGCCAAACTAAGAAGACTAATTCGTCTTGATTGAAAAGTGCTCATGGTTAAAGACATGTCCGTGATTTGATAAATCGAGAAAATGTTTTTGAATAAAGTTTTGGGTGATTCTCATTTTATTGATTGTTCTATTATAAGTATCAAGTTGTCGGACAATTTCTGTTACACTTTTTATTTTAATTCTTGAAAATTTATTTACTGCATATGGGCAGGGTCAGGGTCATATCGGTACCGTCGCATCCGCAAAAATTGAAAAACTGTGTGCTTTTACAAAACTGCCGTAAACTTGTTGATCATTAGTTCACTTGCGGAATCAATCATGTTGGTGGATAGACCCTGCTATGTCCTAAGCGTATCGGGAATCCGGGCTTTTCAGAAAGCTTCTGGAATTTTCTGGAAAAGATAGAAGAAAATGTGACAGGAATTATCCGACAACCCAATAGTATACTTCATTGTAGACATCCCATCAATTATACGAACAACTTTTTTCTACAATGTTTATCGTTGACAATGCATGAATGTTACACTAACGCTCAAGATACATTTTGCAATATTATTTTTTTCATACCTCTCAATATGTCAGGACTTTTGCAAATCAAGCTTTGGATACTGTACTTATTTACCTGAAGGGTTAAGCTTACTCTCCCCCCCCCTTCCCCAACCACTTATTCAGTCATTTAACATCTGTAGAAGCGTTAAGTTTGTGTTTGCAACTGAGTGTGAATAATATTCTTTCAGCTCAGTTGTTCATATCCAAAGCTGCGCTTCCTTAAATTGAACTTCTTTCTTTCTCGTTAGAAACTGGAATGTAGCCAAAGGAAAAATCTCATCTTTCATCTTTCTTTTCTATGCCTGACTTTTCCGCTGCAGTATCTTTGCAAAGCCATATAATACTTTGTGTTATTGATTTTTCACTAAAACGAAAAACGTCAAGACTTGATTAATGACATTTCAGCGCATGTTCGCCCGTTATCTAATTCATTTGCTGTCGAACGATAAAAATACTATTAGGTTGATGCATAATTCCTGCACCAAAATAGGTACAGACCGCAATAACTCGAAGTAATCCTATATCCCAAGTAGGATTCGATACATCATTTGATAGCGCAAACCTAGCTCTACAAGATGGTGCTCAAATATCTACACCAGCTTCAATCCACGCGAAGTTTTGAGCCAAAAACTGAAAAAAACCATGCGTCCGAAAACCTTAAGACAGATCTTAAAAAAATTGTAACTTCGTTTAAAAAGCTCATACAAATTTTCTTTCTTGCTCACGCGTAGACGTTCCACGTAAGACATTTATCTATGCAGTTGCTGTATTTTTTTCTCAACTAGGCGATGAAAAAACGAAGTTTTTTGAAGTTTTTCATGTTTTTGCCAAATTAGTGCTGAGATGTTCTAGTATCAACAGTTGTATAGTACATGCCGTTAGCAGTGAAGCTTTACATTTTCAGCCTTCTAGAACTGCTAGTTCGCGAGAAATAACGAATCTAGCTCTCCTTATCCAAATTTTTCTTGCCTAGTTGCTAAAAATCCGATATTTCTCGTAAACCAGCTACTCTAAAGAGCTGAAAATTCACATTCACGCTTCTAAGGTCCTATAATATACAACTGTCAGTGCTAGAACATCTCAGCATTGTTTTGGAAAAAACATGAAAAACTTCGTTTTTTCATCGCCTAGTTGAGAAAAAAATACAGCAACCGTATAGATAAATGTCTTACGTGGAACGTCTACGCGTGAGCAAGAAAGAAAATTTGTATGAGCTTTTTGAACGAAGTTACAATTTTTTTAAGATCTGTCTTAAGGTTTTCGGATGCATGGTTTTTTTCAGTTTTTGGATCAAAACTTCGCGTGGATTGAAGCTGGTGTAGATATTTGAGCACCATCTTGTAGAGCTAGGTTTGCGCTATCAAATGATTTATCGAATCCTACTTGGGATATAGGATTACTTCGAGTTATTGCGGTCTGTACCTATTTTGGTGCAGGAATTATGCATCAACCTAATATATGGGCATTTCTGAAAAATTTTCGAACATTATTTCTTGTAGGGAATTGATTCCTCTGAAACAGGGGTGATGTCGATAAGTGGGCAGGAAAGTAAAAAAAAATTTCCTTTTTTTTGTGAAATCAAATTCGTTCACCATAATTTCTGTTCAAACAAATCCAAATTTCACGAGTGAAAATTCTGAATTGTTTATGGCCACAAGTTGTTCCTATTTATTGCTCTTCAAGTAAGGTAGATGCAAAATCGAATCGGTTTTTTCTAAGTCATTGAGCCAAGTACGCATTGCACACTTGGCCAGGTATCAAATCATCTCAAAGGAAAATTACATTTACTTACTTTCTTCGTTTTTTTTGCTTAAAATTTTTGACATATTCAAATTCTTCAAAATAGTTTCTGCTATGACAGCCTAACTTATCCCACATTTCTAGCCTAAGAGCAGGAAATAAGAATTATAATGCATTTTCAAACTTCCTTATTTGGTGTCTGAATTCAGCTCAAGCACTATCTTCTAGAGTAGCTCTAGCTGGCAGCTATTTGCATATATATTAGACTCCAGAGATTCTATGCGCCCTACGACGAAAGATATGTTATGGAAAAAGTGCTCCTCAGCTGAGTTTACTTCCTTCTATAGTAGCGAACTAGCCGTCAGCTTTGATTTTCGCTTCTCCCCTTTCTCTGCCCGGCTATCAATCGCGCTGCGAGGAAAGAAAATGCAATTTTGAAAATCGCGCCGTCCGTAATTGCGCTCATAATTCAATCGCACGTCATAATACCATTGTTATCGTTAGTCAAAGAGATGTTTAGTATAGCCTCGGCCCGGCTGCAGTCCTAGTTACGGGAGGGGGGGGGGAAGGAGAGAAGGAGGGGGTTATTTTTCTGCAGTAACTTCTCTCAATCAGTGCGCGTCTCTGGGGCCAAAAAACGGAATTCGCAGTTGATTATGGGCTTTGTGTATTCCGGGCCTATGAATTCATGCAATCATAGCGGTTCGTCAGCACACTCGCACAACAACCCGCCGACGGGGCGGGGCCCCGGCCACAGCTGATTATCCTCGCCCCGCCCCCGTCGCGGTCCTCGCCGCGCATGGTGCAGGATTCCTCCCGCGTCGTCCCGGTTTTCCCCCTCTTCGTCGACGATGATAACGAAAGTGTTCACTTTTTGGCTGTTCGTTCTACTTCTGCCGTCCCGCGCAGCCGCGGACATCTGCTCCTATTGCGCGTGCGACGAAGACGCGAAATCTGTCACTTGTTCGTCGCCGACACTTCTTATAAGGACCGTCTCACTTCTGCCATGGATTGAACAGGTCCACCTAGTCGGGTTAAACCTACCCCAACCACCCCACTTCCTATTTCATCCGGCTCTACGTGTGCTACGCATCAATCGCTGCGGTCTACAAGGCCTCTCTGCTCATACCCTGCTACCCTTACCCAATCTGGAGGTACTGAACCTAGCTGACAACCACCTCGACACCCTTCCCACTACCGTACTCCGTAGCCTAAAGCACCTACGAGTCGTGAACCTAGCCAGGAATCGAATCACAGATCTATCACAATTCTCACCCATCCTAGCCGAAGGTCTCGTTCTCGAGCAACTCGACCTCAGCGGAAATCCGCTCGCCCTATCGACGGCGGAAGCCGCTTTGCCGCCGACGGCGCAACTTTTCCTCTCCGATGCGAATCTAGCCTTAATCAACTCTACTGCTATCGTTTTCTACCCTACTAATGCATGTTCACTAGAAGTTGATTGTAGGATTCTGCCCTTGAAAGCTGCTGATTTCACCCGACTGAGCTCCCTTGACGTCTCGGGTAATGGCCATCTGACCGTGGAGGTGTCAGCACTGACTGCTCTGTCCAACGCTACCAATCTGGACTTTTCCCATACCCATTTGCCTCCAGAATTTACCCGCTGGCTTCATGATGACAGCAGAGTTAAGATTCTCAATGTATCCCATTCTGATCTGCGACTAGATGAGGAACAATGGTCCACATGTGGAAGAGAGCTGAAAAGTTTGGACATAAGTGGCCTGCGCATCAAGCGGCTCCATCTAGATACCCATTGTGTGCTGACTACCGTATTCGCTCGCGACAATCTGCTCGAGAACTGTATTCTGGAGACCCTCTCCCTTGACACACTCCATCTGGACCGTAATCTCTTCACCGACTGGCCTACGCTCCCTCCGGGAATCGCCCTGGACAATCTCCGTTCCCTAACGATCAGCTCTAATCTGCTCACTTCCCTTCCCCCTCATGCCTTGTCCCAGTTCCCGAATCTGCAGCATTTGGACGTCTCCAGAAATCAAATCAGCGAGATCGACCACCTTGCCTTCCCCAGTCTGGGAATGCAGCTGATCTCTATCGACCTCTCCTACAATCAACTCACCATTCTACCTCACCCAGTTCTGCCGTCGCTGGTTTACTTGGATGTTTCCAGTAATAACCTCGTCACCATGGACCCAGCATTCTTTGCAGGGTTACCTATGCTGCAGCATTTAAAGCTTTCAAGCAACCCACAAATCTTCACCAGATGTGAAAATCGCTGTTGGTCCGACCATTTGGACGAGTTGACCGCTCTCGTGGACTTGGATCTGTCAAACTGTGCACTTACCCGAACTCTTCCACTATCACACCTTACTTCACTGAAAACCCTTCTGCTACGGGGTAATCAGATCATTTCTGTCAATGCCGGCGATTTACCACCTCATCTGCGGACCCTGGACTTGGGCGAGAACCGCCTACACTTCACCAGCAACTTCTCCCGCCTACAGTCGCTGCGGGACCTCCGGGTGGATACAAACCCCTTGAGGTGCGATTGCAGTCTGCACGACATTGTCCCGCACCTACTCAATCAAAGCCAAATTGCTGATCCTCAACTGTACTACTGCTTTTCTGGCTCATGGCAATACCCGCTGCTACCGTACCTTACCGGAATCACACCGTGTACCGACAGTACCCGTCACATCGCACCGATTCTTATCAGCACCTTCGCATTCTCTGCAATAATCGTCACTACGCTAATGATGCTTCTGATCGGCTATAGACGATACGCACATCGAGTTAGCCACGTCTACAAACGACTAGCGACAGAGAGCGTTGCAAGGTTGTAGCGCGCGCACACGCGCGAAGGAGCGTGCTGCGTTGCGTGTGCGCTGCGTATGCGTAACAACTACGGGTTCGGCTTAACTTAGTCATTCGATGTGGTGATGCACATGTCTTGTCCGCAGGGGGTCTCACCCGCATATCAGTCGTCGTCGCAAATCCCCGGAGGCGCATCAATAGCGGCTAAATGAGGCGATTCTCGAACTTGTCAGCGACTAATTTTGGAGACGGATGGACGAGATGTTTCGGGAAGGCAGACGAAGAAGACCGTGGACTGGACGAGATTACCGCTGTATATGTACGTGTATTCATGTGATTATAGAGTTTACTAGTGTGTAGTGGATTTTATGCTGTATCATGATTTGGAATTATTGATTATTTTTGTAAATTTGATAAAATGGATTTTTACAACTTGTCATGTCAGAATGTTATCGCAACTTTCACGTCTCTGAATTTACCTAAAAATTGCTGAATTCCAGTTCCTGACTCATTCCAAAATTCTCTAGATTCATTAAACTATCACATGTCACACTCTTCCCCCCCCCCCCCGCACACATTCCTGAATGAATTGCAATGCATTGTAATCAACAAAATGACACTTTATGATGCATTCGGGCAATACTCCATTGTGAGAAATAGAAAAAGCGCAGAAAATTTTTTTCGATCCTCTTTTCGTCGAGCGCCTTTGCCTTGGAAAAGTGCAAGAGTATATGTAATTGCATCGGGAGTAATTGTATCGAGAGGTGCGAGATGTCTTTTGAAAAAAGCCTTCACCAAAAAACCGACTGGCTAGTTTTGCTGCTGCGGAAAAATATTGCCTAGATTGCATGGTGGAAAATTTCTGGGATTTTCCTCGGAAACGTGCAGTAGAAATTTACAGATGAATAAGTTTCTGGAAACAACCTGCTTTGTGAAGATTTTTTTTCGAATTCGTTGAACAACCACTTGTTCAATCATTTGGAAACAGAACATAAACTTCTTAGCCAGATATCTTACAAGTGAAAAAAGGAATGAATTGGATTTGGAAAACAATCTATCACCGCAGTCTTTATCAGAAATTTGGTTCGGGCGGCTTTCTTTCTTTCTTTTTGTTTAATTCCATTACGTTTTCAGACGTCAAATAATTAGATTAAAATGGAATGAATAAGGATAATTTGGTTGCGAATCAGGCAATTCGTCAAATTTTTGTGCAAAAAATTCAAATGTGGTTGTATTGTTAATCAATCTTTTTCCTTTTGTCTGTTAGAATGAACTCTTCAGTCATGGAGATGGTAGCATAAATGGCGAGTATGGGTTTGGGTTTTGGCATATGAAACGTCTTTTGAATGTATAGGCTGTACATAAAGTGTGTATATGTGCATTTGCGTACCTCGCGTAAAGTTGTGTGAATGTAATCGGCTTGATAATGTTTCTGATACGCTATTTACCTTTAACAGTTACGAAAACAAGTGGATTTAAATAGAATATCTGTGACGAGGAGCATATTTCTGATTACGCCAGCCCACCCCCCCCCCCACCCCGTGACTTACCGTCATTGCAATTGACAGGCAATGCTGTAAGGGTTTGAGGTATCTTATGGTTTGTGAAATGTTTTGGGTCCGTAGTAAGCAATAAAATTGAAGAAGTGGATGGAGCGTTATGAATTCGAGACTACTGCGAGGAAAAGCATGTCAAAGCCAAAGAATCAATGCTATTCATGTTAACGGACAGCACCAGAAAAAAAAATTTCGCATATTAAGGTCACAGAAGAGACTTTAAAATTTAAAAATGCTAGAAAGGAAAGATGTATAATAACGATCGCTCATGTATACTGATTGTAACCTTTTTCCATGGCTGCTGGGATTTTCATTCTATTTCTGGTGTTGAGATTGAGAGTCTAACCTCATATGTTTTTTCCTTTCTACTTTAAGCAGATTCAAAAAATTCACCATAAATGATTGCAGTATAAAAGTTACTTTTAATGCTCGTTGAGCGAAAATTTCCTCCTTTAGTGTTTTCTTTAGCACACTCAACCGATCTTTTCTCTTTTTATCCTCTGACCTTTGGGAGTTCGCAACACTTTGACCTGCACTTTCAGATGACAATAGAGGGTAGTGCAGCTGCCGGAACTGGTTTATTTCGTATTTTCTTCCGCGCTTTTTTGCGAACGTGTGATTTTTCCTTTTCGCAGGAAGGAACCGGGGCTGCTTAGCGCTGGAAGTTTGGCTTGGATATCATATTTTTCATGGAAAAAGAGGCTCTAAAAAAGCTTTATTTGAATGGACAGAAGCACTTCATAATTGCTAGAAAGGCAATACTTACAAAGCCACGCATTCGTTGCAAACCAGAAATTTCCGATTTTCCGAGTTTCGATGTCTATTTTCAAAAAAATAGAATAAGCTATAAGAAAATTTCAACAAAATTGGAATATTGCTTTAACCGTAGCTTCTTTATTATTTCATTTTTCTCTCATTACTGTTTCCACTCCGCCTCCGAAAAAACTTTTTAGCGAACAAGTCACTGACATTATAATCTCAAGTTCATCAGTGCAGTAGATTGAATGGGCTCTTTTCACCTTAAAATTCAGAAAAAAATTATAAGGTCATTATTCCAGATATGAGCGCTTGCTGTAGTTGAAAAAACCATTTTTACTTATTTCTTTTTTTTGCTCGAAAAATTGAATTAGAAGTCATGAAATAATGTCTAAGCCACGCAGGTTTGTTAAGATGTTTATTCAGTCTAACGTTTCGGCAATAATGCCTTCCTCAGAGACCTGAAAGAAAGCCTCATCACACTGTTCTGTACCATATACGATCAAATCTCTCTTCTCAACCAGCTTAGCTCGATGCCTAATTCATGAAATAATGTCTAAACCTGCGTGGCTTAGACATTATTTCATGAATTCAATACAATGCCCAGGTTTCATGATCAGAGAACATATAGAATATTGAATTAGAAGTGTTCGAAAAATCGTATTTAACTAGCGGTATTTCACTTTCACGTAGATCGTTTTTTTTACTTCCACTCTGTGCTCATTTAAATTTTTGATTTATTCTCTCCACATTTACATCCATACTATAAATATTCATCGCGTGAGAATACAAATACTCGTTACAAGAATTAAAATTTCAAAAATCCTCGCAAACATCCGGGTTGAATGTACTTCAAATACATTCCAGACGCATTCTTTAGCCGGATTGTGCTGAGTAACTTTATTGCCCCAACTGGTTTCCATTTTTGTCGAGAACACCGCGTTCCAGTGTTGTAAAACAGCCTCATCCGGCAAAATGCATTTAGCGAGCCAGAAAAAGCCGCCAAGACCAGGTATCCTTAGCGCCCCCAAGTCGCAAGTTCATTGCCGTCTAGGACAAGTTCGACGCGGAGGACAATATTAATGGAGTCAAATTCTGGTAAAAAGCAACAATGCTGGTGTTTCGGAAGGATCCGGATGGGTCTAGGCAATTCTATCAAAGCATCGCTTGAATGGGAGAAGTTCTTGCTTGACTTCGGAGTTTTTCGGAAATTCTCAGAGGCAAAATTTCTCGGTTGCAGGTTTTTGCGGGCCTTTCAGTGCATAAGCTTCAGCTCATGTTAGTCAATCAGATCCCAGGTCCTACCGAACGAACCTAGCACTGTGAGTACGGTAGATTACGGTCTGGGCGAGAGTGTAGAGTTGTATTACTGCCGCTCGAACAACAAATTAATGAACTCTCCCAATCGGTTTTCATATATAAAAAACCTGGTATACAGATTAGCCCTACACCCTTTGAGTCCACAAGGAAAAGAGGAAGAACTGTAGAGCATTCAATTTTCTAATTGAGGATATTTTTCGGCGTAATAACAAGTAAGCTGCGTAAAACTTCAAATAATACATGTTTTTTCAGCCAGATGTTTTCTTGAAGGTCTTCTTCTCAGGGCCAGTATTTATAGTAGATGTTATAGATTTATTCAAAATTATGGGTTTACTCTCCAACAAATTACAGAGTAAGTTATTTTATCTATGATGACCAGTGACTATACACCTTTTTTGAGAAAACAAAAGCTAACTAAAACAAATTTTCTCTTAAGACCTGAAATTCTTCAAGTAGAAGATCGCCATTTATTTTTAGCGATTATAAGATTTGTTTATATTCAATGTAGTAACTCTTCTTGAAACAATGTAAATTCTTTCTCTTTCTTATTTGAAAAACATATATTGTGAGTCTTTATAGTAGACGAAGATCTCGACCCAAGCTGCTCCCCGAAAATGGGACGAGAAATTTTTTGAAATTTACTTATATGGGTTATAGAAATGTGCAAGTGAGCCTCTTCTTGTAAAAATTTGGAATAATTAAAAATTCATTGGTCTTGTAAGACTTTTTTGGAGGCTGGCATCAATAGTGTTTCGTAATATTAACATTCCACTTATTCTTAGCTTCTTTCTTGTTATTAATTACATTCCATCATTGTTGCCAAACAGTTATAATTATTCTGCAAAGTCTAGAGGAAAATTTCTTTCTCAACTCGATTTTAACAAAAGCAGAGGGTAAGTGATGTTTCGTAGGTAAAGGCTTCCCGTGCTACCACCTATAAAGACATTTTCACTCCATTCTCCTTCGTACTGATACCCAGGGCTCGGCACGAGGTGGCTAGTTGAAAACGCAAAAAACGAAGTCCCCCTTGACTTTTACGAATTTTTACGAAGTCCCCTTTGACCCTAGATCAGGGCTCGGCACGAGGTGGCGTCCCGAAATTGCAAAAAATGAAGTCCCTTTTGACTTCATTGAAATTACGACATCCGCCATGAGATATTCGAAGAGAAAATACATGAAAAGGAACGGAACAAAGCAACAGCAGAAAAAAACGAAGAAGAATCATCGAACACATGCAATTATACTCATATTCTCCGGAATGGCGACATGATGTATTCATCGTGCAGTAATACGCGCCTAGAGCAGCCTTTCCGCGGCCATTCAAAATTTTCAAGGGGCTATAACTAAGCGGGGAGAAGGGGGTTTGAGGCGGTTTAGGAACCAGTTTGTAGGGTTTG